AGTATCCATTTCTGAAGAGATTCCTCTTCAGTATCGGTCAATTTATGAGAGTTGGCGCGAGAAATCGCGCGGTGTTGTATACCATTCAGGCGGGTTGAAAGGGTGGATCTTGGGACGTTAAAACGGCGCGCCACTTCACGAATTGAAGAGATTTCTTGATTCTTAAAAGCCTGGATAGCTAGTAAGATCCTGCCCTCCTGCTCTATTGAATTTCGAGAGGATTGAGTACGAATTGGTGGCATGGTGGGTGGTTGAACTAACTAAGATCTAATTCATGGACGTGTTTTGGTTGGGGTGGCCAGCTCGCTTGGGTGGCCAGCTCGCTTGGGAATTACGTTAATTTCTTTATTGGCCTGAGAATCAAGGCACCAACAATGCCAAGGCCTAGATATCTGCCCTGGCCAAGCTACTACGAATTTTGTCTGCGCATGTTGAATTCTGAGTATTTGGTCGCCATTACATCCTCCATGCCCAAAAGCAATCACGGTCGATCACAAGCCACAAGTCGGCCCAACTAAACTATACGCCTTCCCTCAACAATGCCTGCATAGGCCACATCGAGTGTCTCCGGTGCCACACGAACCTTAGCCATGGCGTTGCGTCCTCTCGGATATCAATGCAACATATCCTACGCGCAATTCTTCCGCACTGGACCCCAAACAAGACATACCATAACACAACACCTAAGATCCTTTTCTCGATCACGCGACACTCATTGCGCACATCGCTGGTCTGCGACAAGTCCACACCATGCCAGCAAAGCTTCGTTCTCGCTTCGGAGCTTTCTCAGTGATCTCTTGCGACCTGCACGTACTCTCCACAGTCATGGGAAGGGATCACAGACTCAACAGTGCCGCCATGAGACCTCTGCAGCCAAGCCATTAGAGCTCTGTGTGCACTGCGGTGGAAAAACGACCCACAAGGCTAGAAGACACGTCGAACCTGGCAACAATTCCAGCGGCTGGCACTGTAAAGCGTGTGTTCGAATCACCCGTGCCTATGGCCATTTGCCAAACGAGGAGCAGCTTCAATCGATCTATAGGCGAAGACGGATGAGGGCGAGCGGAGAGGCCAGTAAAATGAGCCCATGCAGGCACTGCGGCACAATGACTGCCCCGAGAAGCAGCCGTAAATTTGTTGATGCCAACAACCCTTCCGCTGGGTTTCACTGCCGCACGTGCGTCCGGCATATCAATCATCACGGCAGCCTTCCAACCGAGCAGGATCTTGCAGCGTTCGAGTACCGCAAAAGGATACGGAAACGACGTCCTTACCCTAGTGCATCAGACGTTTGGAAGAGAGAACCAATGCCTCACCACACCTCCGGCTCTGTTTCATCTACCAAACAGATGAAACAGAGCCGCGATGAATACCCTTGCATGCACTGCGGCGACATAACCATCTCCAGCAGCAAACGTAGGCTCGTTGAGCCTCAGAATCCCGCGGCAGGTTATTACTGCCAGCCATGTACGCGGTCTCTACTTGAAACCGACTCCCTGCCAAGCACCGTCAAAATCGCAGCGCTTAGAAAGCTCAGAGCGACCCGCATGCAAAACAATCCCCGAGTCTTGAAAAGCCCCTGTGTCCACTGCGGGGAAATTACCGCCCCCAGCAGCAAGCGTCGACTCGTCGAGTCGAAGAACGCCTACGCCGGGTATTACTGCCGCGCCTGTGCAGATTGTTTGGTGCAAACCGATTCCCTGCCGAGTGAGATACGCCTTGCAGTTCGCAGATCGCGAGAGCAGGTCAGGCTGAAAAACCTGCGGGCCAATCTATCAAAAATGTCGCCGTCCCCGGTCACTCCGCAGGATGGAGAAGCTACACCAATGAAAACTCCCACGGACAGTACCGCACACACTTGCGCGCTCTGTAAAACCGAAGTACACACGCCAGGCCCCTAAAGCTAAAGTTGGGTTGATTTCCCTTAATCTAGTCAATGCCAAGAGCAAGGGTTCTTCAAAATTTTGATATGGGGTATCGCCCATACATGCGCGTCGTCGTCCTGCGTGCTCGCCTATCCGTTCTAATTTCGCGCTTGTATTGATGATCATTTGTGGCGCCATCCAATTAAGCCTCGGGGGGGTTTGAGGCTCTAATTAGAACTTGATGGAATGGATGGTGATTCTATGTAGTTGAATTTTAGAGTAAGGTATGTATACTACAGAGATGCATCTGTTGTGAGTCTGAAATTAAATCCAGGAGATGACGATGACCTAGACCTCTCATAGGAAACCCGGGTAGCCAATCAGAGCCCGCAGAATTCAGGGACAGTCCCGAGGTCCCCACGGAGCCAAAACGAGTGGCCAATCAAACCCTCGCCCTGACTGGCTTCATCTTGATTTTCCTTTAATCTCCCTTTCCCCCCCTTGGGCTGTTTCGAGTGTTGGGGGCTTTTTTGTTTCTTTCTGTTTTCTCTTTTCTCTTTCTTCTACTCCGTACTAAGTGTGAGTTGGATTTTGACAATTGAGAGAGTAGAGGCAACCCTGGAAATTGCCCTCTCCCCGTGTTTGGCCCCCTATTCCCCCGGTTGCCTGATTGCGACAATCCAATACAACCCACTCGAACACCTGAACTTAAGTGCCATGCTCTGAGACCCTCGGAGCTCCTATTTGTGAAGCCATTTATCCGTGTCCTATCCTTCCAACCTCTTCTCCACCTCCATCTGCAGCACTGTTGCCTTGCCAACTCCAGATCCCCGGTCCCCACACCAGTCAGCTTGGCGTTGCTTATTTCCTCGTAAGCAACAACGCAAAGCATTTGCGCGCCAGTTTATTTCTATACTATACACCTATAATCTCTTCACCATGAAACCATCCATCTTCCTGGCCTTCCTCGCCCCGGTCGTTCTAGCCGACTCACAACCATCCGCCGCTGGCGCCAGCCTCTCCTCCGACTTCGCGCACAACTCACCCGCCGTTTCATTACCGGAACTCGCTGCGCGGGAACCGTTCGCTCCGTCCGCGGACCGCGATCTACCGTTGGATGAGATGCGCTTGCTTGCTTCTCACTATATTCTCCAGGCGCGCAGTGAGGGTTCCCTCGGCCAGACCCCGTGGATTGGCATGGCTATCGGGTTGACCTTTACTGCTCTGGCGGCTGTGATGCTAGGGTGATTGGTGATCTGGCATGCCTTGAAACGAACCCCCCCTCCCCGCTTGAGATTCTTCCGCCATTTGACCTTCGACCCATACACCTTTATTTCCGCTTCGACCTACTTCTTTTTACTCTTGATACGACACGTGAAACGCCGAGCACCGCTCGAAATTTGTTTTTCTTATTCTCCGCTCGACATATGTCTGCGACCCTTCCTCATTTTCTTGCGGTCTCTTGCTGCAGATTTTGCTATTTTGATAATTTTGCATCCCTGACCGTGTGTTCCGCCGTGGGAAAGGATCTTTGAGCTCCCTGTTTTTCTACTGTATTCCCCGAATTGCTGAGGTACCTTACTCCGTATGCACTTGGTACTGTTGGGAGTATAACTAGAGTCGCACGTTGTACATGATACCTTCTTGTTGCTGATGCAGATTTTCCCGTGTGTACGGAGCACATGGGATTTACTTAATTAGTACATACAGATATGGCCAATACGAACTGACTTAATCTTTTGACTTTCACTGCTCTGGATCTTCTTTCAGACTTTGCTTTCGTTAGTCTACGCCTTTTTCATGGTGGGACTCGGGCAAGGGGTGGCTTTCTTTGTCGCTCGAGATTCAAAGTTCCACCCTCCAAGAACATCCGGGGATGTTGTGATCTTCGTTCTCACTGTGACGATTGGTTGAATGGTTGAAAGAACTCCCTTTTTCTTCCGTTTCCATTTGACTGCCAGCGAGCAAACAGCTCACTACTAGGGCGGAGGCAAAGACTTCGAGAGCCGTCAGATTCCTAGTCTGCCCTCCACATTGATTTTGGAACCACCACTACGGAGTAGAAAGAGGGATCTTTCATTTTCATCTGCGAAGGTATGATGGGATTTATGATGATATAGGTTGTGTTGTATCAAGGGCTCGAAATTATACACGTCAACCGGCTATTCCGGTCTTCTCACATGGTTGTTTCATTTTTGAATCATTGTGAGTCATTTTGGTATTATTACACATTATATCATAAGATCACCAGCTCTCTATCCACACACGGGCTCGGCAAACCCACGCGTCCACAACAACGAACCCATGATAACAACCAAAAACCCAAGGGCGACAACTATGCTGACACTTCCATACAAATACGCATGGCGCCGATGAGCCAGTCCTTTCAACTCGGCAACCCAAGTACTGATAGTGGTCAAGCTCCCACAGAATCCATCCATAACACCCTGCAGCACCTGGCAACCCGTCATAGCAGCAGGACCCACCGCCCCAAGACCATTAACGTGCTGCAAGTCATAGCAAAGACCCTCAATAATAGTTCCAAAGATATTAACCGCAAACGTACCGAGTGGGAAGGTGGGAATCCTACTATTCAGGTGCAGCGAGACGTAAAACCGAAGAAGACAGCCAAGGGGCGCAAAGACGAGAGCGAATACCGCCCGGCCGCGCCACACATCTGGGCCATCATGTCTGTCTGGCGGCCAGATGGCTAGGAACACAGCTCCAAGCCAACATCCCCAGGCCAGCACGACCACAACTCGGTCGAGGACTCGTCGCATGAACGCAAAGGGCACGGTGGGTGTCACGCGTTGTAGAGCCAGGGCAAGATGTGCACCGACGATAAGCGCCGACAGACTCAGCGATACGGTGAGTAGAATCACAGCGACCAGCGCCATGAAGCTATACCCGCCATTGCGGGAGGTCGGGTGGGATCCGGTAGGCCGCGACGGATCGGGAAGGACATTTGCCAGAGCGAGGAAGACGTCCCGTATAAAGGACGAGAAGGAGGTGAAGCAACCGCAGAACCCTGTCGTCAACCCAATGTACAGGGGGATGGTCTTTTTCACAGCCATGTGTTTCTTGTTCTTGATCTTGGACTCGTCCCCAACTGCGTCTATAGCTGGTTCCTTGGCTGGATTTAACCCCCACTCTTCGCGGAACAACTTCTGGTCTTCGCTCAGGAAACCCATGATCAGGCTTCCAGCTACATTTGCCCATAGCACCCCTGTCACGACAGGAGCGCCTGTGTAGAATGTCAGTGCCTGTAGGCCTAGGCGGGCCAGTGTTCCCAGGAGCGAGAAGAGGATTAAATAGGAGCCGGTGTAGATATGGGTTACGCGTTTGGAGAGGGGTTGCGCAGCACATGCGGGTTGTGGTGCAGGTGCTACGCGGTCACCCGAGCTTGGCCATGTTCCGTTTGGGTTCGCTTGGGCCTCATCTAAAGGGTCGGAATCCTTTGAGGGATTATCTCCATCTTCGGTAGTTGATAGCATTGCGAAGGGTGAGAGCATGGAGAATAAGATCAAGGGAAAAGTTTGCCAAGAAACCGGAGACTGGAGATCTATCCGATTCGGTTAGCGCCTGGGTCTTGTATATGAGGGGAAGATAACAAGGGAAGTCCAAGTTGATACTTAACTGTTGACTCTTCTTCTCTCTTCCCTCTATCCTCTTCCCTTTATCCTCTTCCCTTTATCCTCTTCCCTCGTCACATCATAATCTATATCTCACTATGTCTCTTCCATCCAATGTCCACGTCTCCTTCCACCCCTGTCTCCAAGCCAAGCTTTCCCTAATCCGCTCATCTTCCACCACACCGCGTGAGACAAGAGGCTTGGTCCATGACATTGCCAACATCCTCGGCGTGGAAGCCTTCTCAGGGCTGAAAACGGTTAAAACAGGAACGGTAAATACATCCCCAAGGCTAAGCCTCTATCTATCACCAGTACTAGATCTCCTAATCCTCATTCCAAGGACACAACGCCCCTCGGAATCGAGTATGAAACCCAGGGCATTGTTCCAGCAGACCTAGCTCTAGTGCCAATTCTCCGATCCGGCCTAGGAATGGTTGACGGTAGGTGATTCTCAATCGATTTCCACAAAGCCCCCCCCGCAAACCACTGCAACTGTAACCCATGTTATTCCCTGCGATGTGACCTTATCATGTACTCTTCTATTCCCGAGTTCTCCTTTCCAACCCCCAATCCCAGATCCAAACCTCACAGTTACAATTCGATTTGTATTTCCAGTTTATCGTCTTCTATCTCTATCCCCCCCCCTTTCTCCCCACTCCCCCACTCCTAACCTGTGGACCATCTAAAACCCCGCTTACACAGCCCCCAGCCTTAAATGACCTCCTCCCTACCCCAGTCCCAGTCTACCACCTGGGCCTGTTCCGCGAAAAGGTCTCTCTTCAACCCGTAGAATATTACAATAACCTCCCCTTCCACCGGTCGGAGCTGTCACCGGCTTCACCAGCCTCTCTGAACCCTACCACCAACACTGCAGCTGCAAGCCTGGCTGTGCTGCTGGACCCGGTTATCGCGACTGGTGCAACGGCCGAGGCAGCGATTCAATTGCTGCGCGATTGGGGTGTCAAGAAGGTAATTATGCTTAGTTTGCTTGCATCGGAAGACGGGGTGAAGCGTGCAGCGGGGACTTGGAGTGAGGTTGAGGTTTGGGTTGGTGGTATTGACAAGGGCGTGGACGAGAAAGGCATGATCGTGCCCGGTATTGGTGATATTGGTGATCGATTGTTTGTTGCTGTTGGAAAGTAGGCCTGGGCATTACTATCAGCAGTAAGGCATGGCTGTTTCCAACTTCGATACTAGAGATGGTTCTGTGCCGACAACAACTACAGACTGGCTATGAATGATCAAGGCTACAACGAGGGTTCAGGAAAAGAGGTTGTCCCCGCCAGGTAATTCATCGATAACGTATAGTACATGGAAACGGCATAAAACATGTGCAGGTGAGACAGATGCGAGAACTTTCAAAAGCAACGATGAGCGTAAAAACCATAGAAAGCAAAAACGAGGTGGCGAAGCATGCAGGCAATTAACGTCAAGTACAACGGTTGAAACCAACCAAAGAAGCAGAAGCAGATGGCAAGATATGAGAGAAAAAGAAAAAAAAGAGAAAAAGAAACAAAACGCAACGCGAACGTATGAAAATGTCAAAAGGTATCGAAAGCATCAAAATCAGATGGACGGGGGGCACGATTAGGGGTTAGTATGAACCACAAAGTCAAACTCCACGGAGTGCGAAAGTACACACAGGACCAGCCAGGTGTCGAAGACGGAAAGCAGAAACACCATACTGGACTCCCTGGTGCAATAAAAAAAGCAGGGAAGATGCAGAAAAAACAAAAACAAAAAAAGCAAAAGCAAAAGACCAGGAACGACCGAGAGGGATATCAAAAGGCGAAGTATTCCAGAAAAGCCCAACACCCCGCCTGCCCACTGGCATGTCCAGTCCTAATTCCGTAGTGTCCCAATGAAAGCGTCCAAAAAAACGAGAGTAAGAAATCGAAATGCGAGATTCAAAAAAAACAAAGGCAAAGAAAGAGAAAAAAAGCAGATCAACTCAAGGAGATTGATGAAAGAAAGTTTCAGTATGCGGTGCCGACGCTAGCAAGCGACTTATGTGGCACCGCATGGATTGGCTGATCCTTGCCAACACGAAGAGAATCTTCGTAGCCGACTAGGGCCTGGGAATGAAGCTTGAATGATTCGCCCATCAACTTGGTGATTCTGTAAAGCAGTTAGTAATTGGGTCATCAAAGTTAGGAAAAAAAAACGTACCCCCAGACAACCACGCCGTCTAGGATGTTACCCCATACACGGGCAACGGTGGAGCTGAGTTTCCCAAAGGCGTCGATGGCATCATCGTCAAATAGATTGCGGACTTTGTTGTAGAGGGCCATTTCAGCCTCAGTTGCCGGCTCATCGTCATGTTCCAGGCGGTAGAGCCAAAGGCTCAGAATGACCATCAGATCCAGGCCGCAGAGAGGATGCTCCACGCTCCAGTTGGTAGCGGAAGTTTTGGCAACCCAATTGATACCTTGGATAGCGGCAATCTCAATGCATTCGAAGCATTGTTGGATGACCTTGTTCATCTCTTGCGAGCGCTTGACCTTCTCACGAGCGACGGTCATGGCAGCCGCAACCTCGTATGAAGAGTGGTACCGCATCGCCTCCTGGATGGACTTAAGGTCAACTTCCAGGCGCGCGCGGGTGTTGCGGTAGACCGCCATCGAGTTGAAGATCAAAGGGTGACCCTTCTGAGGAGTGCTAAGCGGGACGACGATTGTTTCCGGCTCGCAAACCTCGAGAGAGTTCTCCCAAGTCTCAAGAGCCAGGCGCAGCTTGTATTCAGTAACCACGTCTTGAAGCGCTTCAAAGCTGCGCTTGTGGCTCCAGACTTGAAGGAACAAGGCGTTGATGAGAACACGAGTTGCGAAAGCACTGTAGCGGGTCTGTTCGCCCTGGAAAAGGAAGTCGTGGGCCTCGCGCACAGTTAAGGCACTCGAGACTGTGCCACGGCGCCAAGACTCATCATCAGCCGCGTCCAAGTTCCAGAGAGACTCTGAAGATGGGAGCTCCAAGTCGTCAAACTCATCGAAGCTCATAGCGGGAGTGTGGTTGAATGTGAGCGTCAACAAGCCGAAGAAAATGTACACGGCGAAATATGTACGACGGCAGGATTCGTCCTCGATCCACTCCTCGCGCGATGGCGGGACATTCTGGCGAGCTTGGGTCCGCAACTTGAGCTGGTAGCGGTTGCCGGCAACCATGTTGGCCAGGAGACTCTTGATTGAACAAGTCCATTCAAGGCCCTTCGGGTCACCGCTCCAGCTCTCAAATACCATGTTCAACAACGTAGCCTGCATCAGCGACAAGGGGCACTTGCGGGAATCGAAGTTATCCTTGTGTTGCAAGAATTGGTTGACCAGGACCTTGGAGCCGACATGGAGCATGAAGGCGTGCTCACGCTCGAAAGTGTAAAGAGCACCAATGGATAACACTGCCAGCAACAGTGGTGCCGGAACTTGGGAGGGCTTAAATGATTCTTGGTGCAGGAACGGCAAGTGGGGATGGTACAGATTAAAGTAGGTAGACAAATACCGGTTCAGCGCAACCGTGGAAGGAAGCTGGAAAGTATCGGGTAGCGCACCAAGGCTGTCGGATCCCTGAACTCGGTCCACTACATAGTTACGTTCCATATCATTGGCCAGCTGAGGGGCCTTGGGAAGAGTCAGCGCCTGACTTGGGCCGGGCGAGCGGCGGTAGTTAACCGGACTCACGGGGCCCATCATCGAGGGGTAGGGCGAGAGAGCATTCGGGGTAGAGTGCCCAGACATAGACAGCGAGTTAGACAAGAGAACGTCCCCGACGGGGCCATGGCGATCGACGAGGGTGGGCATTGACCCCGGTTCCGCGGGGGAGACGAGTGTGTCCCAAGGCATCTGAGGTAGAGTAGCGTTACCCGAGAGGTAGGGATCGAAGGAGCCGCGTCCTGGCGAAAGCGATTCGGAACGCTCGGAGACCTGACCGGTCGCCGCTGCTGCAGCCTTATGTTGGAAATCTGTCATCAACATGGCTGCAGTTTCAAGGTCGACCATACCATCGCTGCTTGCCTCAATCTGCTCCAGCGTCGTCGGGTCAATGGTGACCGACGGCTTAGCCGGAGCAGATGAGTTTTTCTGAACCCCTCCACCACGTCTGCGCCCCTCTGCGACCAGAGGGATTCCACCGTCCTTGGCGTGAACGGTTCGGTCATGTCGCAGAAGAAGATCCCGACGGACAAAGGTACTACGACATTTTAAACACTTGAAGGGTCTTTCTTTCGTGTCTATATATTTCGAATTAATCAGAGGAAAAGACGCGTCGGAGGATTCTTCAAATCTTACGTGAGCGCTCATGCCGACTGCGATGTTCACTTCTGCTGAATGCACGATTGCAAAATTGGCATTTGTATTTCTTCTCTGGGGCCGATGTTTTTTTGGCCGGTGGATTGGCCGTCCCGGGTGCGGAAGGAGCCATATGTGCGGGCTGTCTCTTATAACAAGGACGAAAGTGACGGTGGTATTGTCCCCTGGGTAAGCTCGCACCGGTGCTGTAGGCGTGTCGATGACAGAAGTTCGTTTGGATGTCTGATCATTCCTTGAGTGGGGGGGAAAGGAAGTAAAGTGTGTTGAGAAAGTGGTGACCAGCCACAAATAGGAAATATTAAAGAAGCGAACGCTGTTTTTTGTTAAAAAAAAAACCAAAAAATAAAGAAGGGCGGGATGATCAACCGCGATTAGATGAAGGAAGGGGAGGGGAAAAAGAGAGGGGAAGGAGGATGAGTAGAATAAGAAGGAAATTGGGATTTTTGGTTTTTGGGGGAGGGGAACATTGAGGGGAGGGGGGGGGGGGAAGGACGTGGACCTAAGCTGATTCCCTTGATTGAAAGCAAAGACCACCTGGGCAACAGAGGGGCGAAAGTGGGACCGATCACAGCTCAAAAGACCATCAGAGCGGAACTAACAGGGAATTTCTACCCAGCCTCCCTATCCGGCCACGCACTCTTTCTTCCTTCAACCACTCACTTTTCTTCCCCTTTCTCTTTCTTTACGCACTTTACCATACGAAATCGACACGTAATTATGAAAAGCCCTAAGTTGTATAGATTTGTCCCGATCGCAAGCCCACATGGTTCAATTTTGGTTTCCCCCTTGGATCTTAATTAGATAATTAAACACGACAGGGTCGATCGTTGAAATGTTTTAATTAGGAATTTCCTGCGAGGGTGCATTTCAATGTCCTCTGGTGGGTTATTTTTATTGAATCGTGCCCCTCGCTCAGATTATGGGGACGGAGGGGAAAGCCCTTGGTTTCTCAAGTTCTTTAATTATGTGGCATGTGAGGTGGGTGATTCGATCGTGGCACACTTGGAGAGGCTGTGATGATAGCCCCTGATTCTCTCTACTTTCAGACTTTCCCCCCCCCCCCTACAGGGGGATGATATCCGTCTCATCTGCAACGCAGCCATACGTCTTTTTCTGATATCAAAGCGAAGGTCGTGATAGATCTCAACCATGGTTCACATCCGTCTCTACCCCTCCTCCCCTCCTCCCAAGATCTACATTGTAAATACAAATCTCCCATTGAGATGCATCACTTTGATTTCTACCCTTTTAGAAGACCTGTTGGTAGACAAGATCAAAGTCTGGTCACAACATCTCCGACCGTAGAGCTAGGGAATGGGACAGGGATAAATAGTCTCATATCGAGAGTTGCATTGGTCTTGCCTTGAATGTGAGAATGCCAAAGTTGAGAATGAGGACGTTACTGCGTGGTCAGTATATCCCACTATTGGAATAGTTTTATCAATGGGGAAGAGTAGATCGATCCAGATGGCATCAAATCAGGGACTTGTCCATGTATGAAGTATACTGGGGTGCCCATCAGTCCCATCTCCTGACAGATCATCCTTCGGTACTTTTGTTGCCTCACAAATTGACTGGTCCAGATTTAGTCTCACCTCTGGCCCTCTGACCCTCTGATAGTCTCCGCCGTGTGGCTGTAAATTTGTTTGACTGTGCCACGTTTGAGAGGATGTTGTATGTGCCCCCATCACGCCATGGACGACTGCATTAGTAATGCAGAGGATCGATGTATGTACCCTGTGTTGTCCTTGAGGAATCACCTGCCGAACTGCATGGAGGAAAGATTGGCGTGCAGACCAAAAATGCAAATCGGAGCATTGGATCAGAGATCAACTTTCGATTTGCTTCTTTAAGTTTATGCATTGCCAGCACAAAAGAAGACGCCTGACTGTGCTACAAACGGGATACCACCGAATGCCCATGAAGTTACTCCGTATATGTTGTATGTTGTAGTTTTCAACGCCATCTAGGCTCCACCCAGATGAAGTTACAGTTTAATGCACCGCAAAAGCTCAGTTGTCCTTACATTTGACAAAGTACAACGTACGGGGTACTCTGTACTTCGCACACCGTTTCCTATCACTGCGGAGCTGCAAGTTGAGCATCGCGAGTTCCCGGGTCCTATCGGTGGGACGAATCCACCACTTACATCATTGCAGCCCGAAGATCCCGAGCGCGGAGCACCGACGCGGTTACTTGGGAAACGCGCTTCGCGTGGAACACGGCGCAAGATCGCCTTTGATATACATCGGGACAAATCAATCTCGGCCATACCGCTCCATATTAACCTCTATGTCCCTGAGTACCCCCTTGATTTGCGCAAGCAAAGTCTCTAAATACTCTCCCGGACTTCGATCTAGACTATCAGCGCGCTTCAAGCTCCAGCGACGGTAAATCTGGGCGGCTTGCACTTTTTACAAAGAGATCCCTACAGTCCATGATTCCTGTTGCAAACCCAACCAGTCGACATCCTTCGAGCTTTTGCTCGGTCCGCTTCCCGATACAACGGACCGACCCTGTCTAACGCTCTCGACTCAGGAACCTAAAACCAGGCCCATGGCGGTTATACCGTAGGAATCGGTGACTTGAACGCCTGGCAAATAACTTGATTGATTCCTTGCCTCGAAAGCTATTACACCAGACGATCCACCATTCCCAATCCCTTGGGCCGCAAACCCCGGATATGTCTTTCATTCCATACCCCTCCAAGCGGTCAAAAGCACGCTGGACAAAAGCACCATGTCTATCGAAAACCCACCCAATTATGGATCTGCATTCAGGATCCAATCGGACCAGTTACGAATCAGACCTCTTCGACCATTTTCCCTTCGGGCTCTGCTCCACACTAGCGAGCCCGCTACTGGAACAAGAATTTCAGGAACCTCTTTCCCGGCGCCCTTGAGCTAGTGGACGCCGACAGACGGGCTTGGCTGGAGCCCATCGTCCCGAAAACTTCATGGCCAAGGTCCGGTGTCTCCGCCGCGGACGCCAGGATTACGGTCTGGAATCACCCAACTCGGATCCTGTGTTGTGTTCTGTAAGTAAGCCCAACCCAGCCGTCTCCATGCTAAAGATGTCGGTGAAGCCTGTTTCGTGTCAATACGTTTTATCTTCACCGCTTCTGCAAGAGAGAAGAAATCTACCAAATAAGCGGGTTCAACTGGTTTCAACTTCAACTGGCTGGACGGTGTGAGCATCATTGATCGTGTAAATCAAAATTGAATTTTCGCCCTGAAACCGAGGGTCCCCATTGTGTGCGCTATCACCGATTTACTCCGTACTTTCGCTAAATAATGGGTCCTCGAAGAGGACCCCCAACATCCCAGCGTCGGCAACCCACAGACAAGGACCACTCGAGTTCCTCTCCACTTAACGCGTGCTTTTTATGTTGAAGCTTCTTACGGAGTGTGTTGTGTCAAAGGAGCCTGCCTATGGAGTACTTGATCCAAGAAGCCCACTTCTGAACCCTGCGTTCGCACCGGCCGTCCCGAGGAACATGAGTCTAGACTTCGGGCGCCCACATCCTCTAACCATATCCAGAGACACGGGTTAACCGAAGCTTTTCGTGCAGCGTACAGCGTGTGGATATTGAATTAAACTTGAAAGCAGGGAACTGAACCCCCTCATCTAGATCCTCTGTGCGGAGCACTGTGTGGTCCAAGTGACAATTGGCAATCTGTAGAAAAATCAGGGAACTATATTACAACACACAACATGCATGTCGATGATCAGCGATTGCATGACAGGCCTGTTCATCCAGGACCTTGTTTTGAACCATGGAAACATGGTCAATTGCAGATGCGATCGCCCTACCCCTGAATCGTGACAGAAGGGGATGGCCCGGGGAAGACCTTCTGGTCCATGGTTCACCTCCCGTCTGGATCTTGGTGAACTTCACGTTCTGATATCAGATGGACGGGTCATAATTCTGTTCTGCGCCACTTTGCCTGCGAAACAGATTGAGCTACACTCGATTCAGCCAGTCGGTGCTGCATCTTCTATATGTGTCTGTACATACATATAGTGCCGTGCATATAGCGCAAATGCCTCTCTCAACCCCTCCCCCTTCTGTCGCGGTGGCGACGTGGCTGCGTTCATTGGACAGTCCCTCCGATGTAGGGAACACACCACACACGAGAGCAGGACTTCATCCCATCGGCAATAACATTCAATATCATTTCGCCGGGCTTGTAATATTGCTGAACTCTTACTTATCCACCGGAGAAGGTCCTCTCCTCCCCCCGCGTGGAGGTGCTCCCGCGGAATTTTCTCGAAAAATGTGGACACCGGGCTCAGAGGGCTAATGTGGGAAAGAGACGAAGAACAGAGGGCCCGGAGAGCCCGGAGAACTTGCTTTGTTTGTATCGCGACTTGGTTGCTTGAAATTCATCAAGGTTTAACGTAGGACGCGCCCGACCTCGAGAATAATGGAATTACCAATAGATCGATTTCCATCATCGGGTTGACTAGGGGCGTGTTACTCTATGCAACATACGATAGAAATTGAGGCGGGAATTGTATTTAGGTTGGGAGCTGGGCGTGTCTTGTGTTACATTGAAATCGAGGTGGAAATTAAAAAAAAATTTGAAGGCAAAAGGAAGAAAAGGGGGAGTAGGAGATCATCGGAGACCCGAGATTTTGGTTAAACAAGGAAATGGGGATGGGGTCGCGATTGGATGTGTCCTGCACCAAACGGTAGGATTGGGTCTCGGCAAGTGGGAATTTCTCCAGTTGGGGCGGCTTGTGACCGGTGATGATTGTCTTCTGTCTAGGTTCCTGCGACTCGCGCAATGTCCGACTGCAAGGAACAAGGGGTCATGGTGGCGGCTTTTTTTTAATTTGAAGGCCGTGTGGTTTGCCATCCGGTTTGCCCAGAGTTGCTCCGTGTGCAGTATACGAAGTTCTTCCAAGGTCAATTGGGCCAGTCACCTCTCCGTTTGGTAATAAATCTCTTGATCTTTGTCTGACTTGCTTTAGTCAACAGCGAATGCTCCAGACTATGCAGAGATGTTGAACTTAAGAGGATGAGGTACTGCTACTCGGGATTTAATAGCAACATTGAGATTATGGTGGACTTTCTCAAACTGTGGTTGTGAGGTATACACATTAGCTACCCATCAACCCAAGTATTCGTCTACATATTCTCTTGTCCATACGAACGACTTTCTACCAACAACCTCATAATATGCTTGAATTTACTATATCCTTAGCGAAGAGTGAAGATCACATAGAGGCAAGTCCCACATCGAGGCCCTGATGTTAAATAAATCGTGCAAAGCTAATCAGGAGTCGATTTCTGAACTGGCGTTCCAATTTATCCTCCACGTTGGCTCGTCGCAATGAAAGACTGAAAGTTTGAATATGCTGATGTCGGTATAAAGAGGACTTTCTTCAGGTGCGTCCTGATATGCACGTTTTGTAAGCCTTACATTTCCTTTTCACGTCTACATGGAACCGAGCCGAGTTTAACAACGTGTTGCAATGGATTTAATGCTATTGCTTGACCGGAATGCATGAATCCTTTATCTTACCTGAGACACGAACCTTCTCTGCAGACTCATTGCGCGCCGCTCATGAGTCCACACCTCTTTCAATGATGGTCATCCTCACGAGGAGAAACGGTCCGTTGCTAAGCAGATAGCTTCCCAAGCCCCCGGGTCCATTGTGCATGGCTCTGGGTGCTGATTACCAGCGATTTTATATACAATAGAAATCCTATCAGGGGCGAGTGCTCATTTTGAAAGGTTCATGATGCCTAGGTAGTTTCATGCGAAACTGGAAATTGCCCTGGTGGAGATGTACGATGCTCCGTACGGAATAGTACCAGGGTTCAAGTTGGAAGACTGAGTGGGCCGCGGTGATGTGTGTGGATTGGTTCTCGAGATCATGCCATGTGCTGCCAATACGCCCCGTTTGAGGGGCCCAAGGTTTTTTATACAACATTGAATGTCTCGTCAAGCTCGCCCGTACTGATAATTATACAGAACTACCAAAGTGTACGTTGAACGCGATGATCTCGTGTCAAACTGATCTTGAAAGCCGGGGTTTGGAACGAGGCTGTATCATGCCAGCAAGATCACCAAAAGACGCTCAAGTGATGCTTCTGCATCTACCCATGCTTGCATCAACCACGCGCGGACCTATCTTCAACTATAATACATGTACGGAGTATATCATCTGTAGAACATGTGTTTTGTACTCCGTACAATACCATGTACCATGTATTGTACTGGGGCGAGCATTAGCACGATCCAACCCGAGCCTGGAAAGTGGGAACTCCAATTTAATAGATTAAAAACCGTCTTCTAGAACCACTTTAGCCCTAATGATTGATTGGATAGTCGTCTTTTCTGATGGTCATCCGAAAGAGTTCTATGGATATATACTCCGTACATTACTTGACACGAAACAACTTCCTTGGAAAGGGAAAATAAGTGCCGTTTGTCACACTCCATTGGGGCTGGGCATTTGGTCTCGTTGGATATGGTCCGAGCACATGGGCCACTCCCCATTCTTGCTGAGACACCATCTTGCCCAAATTTACGCATTATCGGCTCCCCGAGATGCAAACTAAGGGTGTGAGGCTTTGATACCCCTTACTGGCTCAAGCCAGGATGCCCTTGATCAATTATTGAAGAATGAAGATGATGGTGAGTTGTGGATGGAGTTGAGGTACATGTAATCTTTCAAATACGGGAAGCTTGCAGCTCGGATATTTCATGTCATTCTTCACGGTTGTAAAGTTGATAGATACATGTCTTCAAGGTCCAATAACCGCGGTTGAAAATTGCACTTGTGGGCCATAGACCACAGTCTTGCATGGAGTACGGAGCATATTCTAAAATTTTGGCATTTGTCACCAACCTTGAGGTCATCCATCGAACTACATGTGTCATAACCCTACCAGGCTGACTGCTTCAACCCGTTATGGATGAGGAGATGAGACCGTAAGCGTGTAAGTATGTCTGGGCATGCCCGGGTGGTAAGCGGTTATTTCATCACACAGACACATATACAGTGGGGAACACCATGTCGTCAAAAAATTGACACCAAATCAAGCATATAATAATGTTGAGTGGCCTGGGGCTCTAGATGTCTCTAGGGCATGGGACAGCTAGCCCCATTTATTCTGAGGGGCTCCGGAGGACTTGAAAGATCAATGCCATATGCAAGTCGAGTTACGGAGTACTTAAATGCCAAATGGTTTGCGGTATCTGTAAGGCTGTGGATATCCAACTACATGACATTTGAAGACCTCATCTCATTGGTGTTGATATTGGTGTCATTGGACATCGTGTTCATGAAACCACTGGCAGTTCAGTAAGGTATTGTAATATCTACTGTATTATCCCTCTTGGTTCCCCTCAAAAAGCCTTCTCCATCTGGTATTAATACCGGTATTGCATGCGCCCGTCCCGCCTCCACCTGGTGCAACTCCCCCTAATTCAATCCCACTTACCATTTCTCCAGGGTTTCTTTTGTTATAACTTATTGATGGCAGAATTGCTGTGTTGAATCATCGTTGAAACTACGCATCCTTTTTTCTGGTTGAATAAGAAGTGACTCCCCACCCACATTTCCCCCTCCTCAACGTCGAATGCACAGCCATGAGCGGATATTGAGCTCAACACCCCCCCTCAACCCCTCCAGAAGCTCTCTGGACTGTGGCCCTGTGAATCCTCGATGTTTGATATCCGTGCGGCAGATTTAGCCGTCGAAACAACTGCGCTAGCCAAGTCCGGGACTGTTGCGACCGCATTCGAGTATACCGACGAACAAGTGACCACGCCCACAGCCCTATCCCACTATCGCGGTCGGGGAAATAGTGTATCACGAAATCATAATCACGTCAATCATTCCCCGGTCAAAATGGCCTCTGGATATGCACTCAGCCCGGAGCCGCCGGCGCTCTTCGTACGGGCCATGTACGATTATGACGCCGACGATCACACTAGCCTGAGTTTCCGCCGTGGCGACATTATCCAGGTCCTCAACCAGTTAGAAACCGGATGGTGGGATGGAGTCATCGATGACGTTCGAGGTTGGTTCCCAAGTAACTATTGTACCCCAATCACGGAAACAGACGATTTCAGCAACCAGTTAGCCCACGCCCACCACGAAACCGACCTCAGCGCGGACTCCGGACTTGAAGATGATTATGGAGATGGACACGAAGAGGATGAAGTGAACTCCGAGAACAACTCTCGAGAATCACACCCGATTCTCCCCACTGAGGGTATCCCAGCGCCCAAGGAGCAGGAAGAGGCCGCATTCTGGATCCCCCAGGCGACCCCCGACGGCCGTCTGTTCTACTTCAATACCCTCACCGGATATTCCACCATGGAGCTCCCTTTTGAGAACCCGACCGCAACCATCGAACCTGGCCCACGAGATCGAAATAATTTCTTTGTTCCCGACCAGACACGGCCACCCCCGGAGCTGATGGCGCGTGGCTTTGAGCGAGATGAAGACGAGTACGATGGATCTGCATCAGAGGCAGAAGGAGAGTCATTGATGATAGGATCGCATGGCTCGATTTCTCGCCGACGCCCGTCCGTGATGGATGGAGTGTCCCCTGCCACGTCCATGGATTCCTTGTACGCCCCGGGATCTAAAGATCTCAAAGCGTCGCAACCCCCGAGCAAGAGCTTGCAAAAAAAATACAGCCTGGGCGGGAACAGTGCCAGCACATCTGTGACCGAAAGCTTATCCAGACCTTCTATTTCCTCCTACCCCCATCAGCGCTTTGTCGACGATGGCCTCTCACTACCAATAACTTGGCCTTTGCTTGTCGACAATATGCGATTTGCTGTGGAAGCTTACCGCCAGACACTTTTCAAGGGTGAGCGTGCAGAGTATGTAAGAAAGGCTGAGGACATATCCGACCATCTTCGCATGCTGCTGGCTGCTGGATCTGACACGACGGATAATCACTCCGGCAACCCATCTATCATTTCCACGAACAAAGCCCTTTATCCTCACTTCCGGGACATGATGTCCAAGTTTTCCAAACTGGTTCTTTCATCACACATTGCCGCCGCTGATTGGCCTGGTGCCGACTCGGCCAATAAATGTCTGCAGGAGGCCGACGGAGTTATGCAGGGTGTGTATGGCTACGTGGAAGTGGCTCAACAACAGCGCGGTGATACGATCCCTCGCATTGTGCCTGGCTTCATCAGTGGTAGCTCTTCGGGTGGTGGCTGGCAAAACAACGGTGTTTCCGTGAGTGCTTCTGCTCCGACATCATTCCTTGTCCCAGACGGAGGCGACTCGCGAGCAGAGCCATCGGTCTCCCTTGACATTG